TAAGACCATGTGTTAGAAGTCAATTATTAATCGTGTATCTGAAAAACATGACCCTTTAAAGGCTGAAATATTTGGTGTTGATTTTAAATCAATCAAGAGAAGCATTTGTTGTGTTGACAGTTGAACAGGCAGAATATCTTGTTAGCAAATACAGCACCATAAAGCTTAATGAATCAAAGTTCATTAAGATTGTTCCCTTCTGGTTTACAACACTGCGCAGTCTTGTAAGTGGATACTGACATTTTGCGGAGCATACAGCCTCCATCTTAAAGCTTGAAGAGTAAGCCAACCAATGACACAGCAAAGCTCTGCTTGCTGGCTCCTTCTTGCTTGACTTACTTTTCAACTATGAACATCAAGGTAGTATGTTCCAAAATGTCAGTCAACTTCTGCTGGACTACACAACACTACATCCCAAAAGGCAGTACTCTTCAACATATACCCTCACAAAAGGGGGGTGGGGCTCTTTTCCCAATCAAAAGTGTACAGGCTTAAATTGGCATTTGAACACTTGGCAGTAAATGAATTTAAAAATATGAATACGCCTGTGATAGCATCACACTTACCGAACAAAACATCTGTATGTATAGTTCTTTCATGAGCCTCATCCAACATGATAACAGAGTAATACTTCAGATCAAGATCCACTAGGCATTCACGGAGTAACATGCCATCTGTCATGTACCTTAAAAATTAAGAGGAAGTTTATAATTTGCAAATGAAACACCAGGAGAAGAAACACAACAAAAATTAAGGTACCCAATCACAACACATTGATTAACACATACCAAATTATTGTCACTGATCCGTCATAGGCTGTTTCTTTATGAGGTGGGTGCTAATTTAGAACAAAGAATATCAAAGTATTAAAAGAAGGATACAAAATTGATCTACATTTTATGAGACCTGGCTGGAACACAGCAAAACCCCACTAATTCCAAATTCGTGATAATTCGGACATCTTTTTTTTTGCACATTATGTCCTTGATGATGATATTGCCACTATCTAAAATGTTTTTAAGACTAATGTCAAAACTTATATTTTTATATTTTGACAGGCAAATTTATTTTCTGATATAGAATCTGTTTCAAAATAAGGTTGTATTGTCTAAAAAGACACAGGAAGTCCATTTTAAAACTTCCCTGAACATATTTTCAGTAGCTCTTCTGTAATTCTAACTTCTTTTAATTTGGAAAAGGGATCATACCTAATTAATTCAAATTAGTGTGGTCTAACTGTACACCGCTGTCCAAAAAGTACCCAACTTTATTTCTTTCTGCTGTAAGTAATGGCCAAAGGGGTGGGGAAACTAAGCACAGTGGTAGAAGGGACTTTCATGCGCATGCGTGATTTTTTGCTGACTCACAACACCGCCGGATGCATCTGTGGCTGCCAGATAGCGAAGTGGTGTAACATATGTTCATCGCATTCTCGTTTCGCTCAAAATGACAGAACACTTGGAACAGCAATACTGCATCAAGTTTTGTCAGAAACTTGGGGATATCCAAGCGAAACAATCTGCAAAATTCAGCAGGCTTTCAGCGATGATGAAATGGGGGTTACTCATATTGAAGAGTGGTTCAACCGCTTTAAAGATGGCCGTATGTCAGCAGACAGTGACCAGCGTTCTGGGAGACTGTCAACAAGCAGAAATGCTGATGTCATTGAAAAAGTGTGGACACTGATCATGGAGGACTGTCATTTGACAATGCGGGAAGTTGCTGATGATGTTGGGATCAGCAGAGATACTACAAACACAATTTTAACTGAGGATTTGGGCATGTGAAGAGTGGTAGCAAAATTTGTGCCCAAGATGCTTTCACTGGAGCAGCAACAACTCCACCTTGAGGTCGCGCAGGACATGCTGGAGTGTGCCAACACGGATCCTGAGTTCCTGAAGACTGTGATCACTGGTGACGAGTCATGGGTGTACAGATATGACCCAGAAACTAAGGTCCAGGTGTCACCATAGAAGCATCTAACATCCCCGAGGCCCAAAAAAGCATGACAGGTTTGGAGCAATGTGAAGGCGATACTGACNAGCAGCAACAACTCCACCTTGAGGTCGCGCAGGACATGCTGGAGTGTGCCAACACGGATCCTGAGTTCCTGAAGACTGTGATCACTGGTGACGAGTCATGGGTGTACAGATATGACCCAGAAACTAAGGTCCAGGTGTCACCATAGAAGCATCTAACATCCCCGAGGCCCAGAAAAGCATGACAGGTTTGGAGCAATGTGAAGGTGATACTGACTTTTTTTTTTCAATTACTGGGGTGTTGTGAATCATGAGTACGCACCATTAGGCCAAACTGTCAATAAGGAGTTCTACCAAGAAGTCCTCCGCCATCTTTGTGATGCAGTTTGGCGCAAGAGACTGGAGCTGTGGGACGCATGCAACTGGCAGGTGCATCATGACAATGCCCCAGCTCATTCATCACATCTGATCCATGGTTTCCTGGCCAAGCATGGCATTCCACAGGTTCACCAGGCTCCCTACTCTCCTGATATGGCTCCTTGTGATTTCTGGCTGTTCCCAAGATTGAAGACACCACTAAAAGGCTCCCATTTTGACAGCTGCGAGGACATCATACAGAACACGACAGTGCAGCTGCACACCATTCCAAAATTGCTTCCAGCAATGAAAGGCCCGCTGGGCTAAGTGTGGGGAGTCACAAGGGCTCTACTTTGAAGGGGATTAGGTATTGTAACCACCCAGATACAGAACTTTGTTTTCCCGGCCCATGGTCGGATACTTTTTGGACAGAGTAGTATTATGGAAAATGGAGATCTGAAAACAATACAAGAATCTCTAAAGTATACTTTAAAGAGATTCTAAATTTAATGCTAAAACATGGATCCTTACAAAGGGAAACAAAGGCAATATCCAAACAATAGATGTGAAATTTCTGTGTATTCAGGGGAAAAAGAAAGGACAGAATTAGAAATAAAATTTTGAAAGAAGAAACTGGTACTCAAAACATTCACTTCACCATTATCTTTCTAGCCTTCTCCACTAGTTCTATTCCCAATGATAGCTACTAAAATGTCCAATCAAAACTTCAGACCAGCCAATCTGAGCCCTACAACTGAGATCCAATCAAGGAATAACTCTGTTGTCACAGTATTGTCATGATTCCATCATCAACCCTTACACAATACTGATCTGTAAAACTGATCTAATTGCTACACAAAGTTAAACAAACAAAAACTATCAATCTGAGATTTCAACAGAGGCAGAGATTCATATTGTGACCTCAAATAGTGTGGTGTATAGATCTGTTACTAAGCAGAGACTCTGGAAACAGGGACCGTTTCTTGGCAATGGCTTGGTAAACATGTTCCCATTGCTAGGCAGCAGACTAATAATGCAACAGTTGGGTGCAATAATAGAAAAACTGTGTTTTCTGTGTGGTCCATGACAAGATGTTATAAGGAAGGGACAAAGTTAGTTTGGAGTTCAAATGAGTTCTGCACAGGAGGCTATGAAGAGAAATCCTGAGCATGTGAAGCTGAAGAATCTGCACTGATAGAAGCCATTACCAGGAAACGGCTGATGAAGACACAGCATGCTGGAAAAAGGTTTAATAGTTGCCATGATTTGTGAATTGTGGAGGTTTGCGATGGCGCTGTAATTGCTTTTAGTTCTTAGTCGTGTGTATAAGTGGTCAATCAATCCATTCACCATATTAAACCCAATCTACACTCAAACATATCTCGTGACAACAGGTTGTGTGACATGTAGAGTGGTAGGCAATTATCAACATTTTTGAGGAAGATATTGCTTCCATCTTCATGCAGAAGAGGCAGTATGTTCAGTATCTACAAGGTAGGAGATGAAGATGGTGGCATCAGACTCCTCCAAGACATTGGTAAATATCTATCAAACTATACCATATCAGACAAGACAGTAATCTTAATATTTACAGCTGTCACAAACTTAAATCTCATGTTTGTTAAAGTGCTTTTCTTCCATCCCACTGACTATGAACACATTCAGCCCCAGACATGTGGGGGACGATGCACAGTCCTTGCAACCTTGCAATTCTGCAAATGCTAGAAGAGCTTCTTAGATATAATTAAACTCCTAGCAGTTCAACACCTTGCACTGGTGGGTGGAGAAATGCCAAAAGCATCTTCATGGTACTTAGCCTAGAGAGTCATCACTCAACTGTTGGATGTATCAATTTATAAGGAAATATACCTAAAAAGCAAACTGCATTAAAACTTAATATTAAGGATTTGTGCAAGAAATGTTTCCATGTGTCATACTATTACAGTTCCTGGCATCAGTGTGCTAAAACTAGACTCAAAGTATAGTACTGGTATACAGTACACACATACTTGATGACAGTCTCTGGACTTGTACAATCTTCAAAACGGATTGTGTAACCAACTTCTTGTCCAAGTCGACAACCAAATTCTTCTGCTACACGCTTTGCTACTGACATAGCGGCAACCCTCCTTGGCTGTGTACATCCAATCTTCCCACGACTCGTGAACCCTGCTTCTGCTAGATACTGTGTTATTTGGGTTGTTTTTCCTGATCCCGTTTCACCAATTACAATAAGGATCTGATTATCTGTTACAGCCTGTTGGAAGAAATATACAATATGACAGATCTTGATATGGGTGCATTTTCCATATAATATTCCTTAGTATCAGTCTTTCCTCATTTAACATTCATTTCAATGATCCCACACGAATAATATTAGTGTTAAAGAAAAAATAAAAAGGAGAAACAAAATTCCTATGGAAGGAGCAGGAGTCTAGATTTTGTTAACAGAATTAGATGATTACAACTGTTTCCTCATGTAAAAGAAATGGATAAAATAAGGCCACAAAAGGGAACTGGAATTAAAATTAAAAAAAAAAATGTATGCATGGAACAGTCTGGGACAAGATGGTTCAGCCAAGTACTGGCTGACACTAAGACAGGGTAGATACTGAAAAGGAAGAACTGTGCAAAGAATGGGGTGGAGGTTTTCCATCCAACAACCCATTTCAAATAGGGGAAAAAAAAAATACTAGGAAAAGAATAAAACCATATGCCATAACCAACAGGTGATCCACTGTAGTGACTGAGCTAAAAGTACAATTTGAGATATGTTTCAGTTCTTGCGATTCCTGGCCCCTATATTAGCTCTGATAATAAAGACAACACCTTATAATAAAAAATATCAATCAGCCACAAAGTTTAATGTACTGAAAAGTACGTCTGCTGGTTCGAGAAATGGATTTACCTTAGTAAGCTCATCTTTCAGTTTGTATATAGGTAAACTCTGCCGCTGTTCTAGCAGTGTCATATCTGTTTTTCGACCAAATGAGCTCTTCTTTCCACCAATCACATGCTTTTTCCATTCTGGAAGATCCTGGTTGGTCAGTCCAATGCCACGCATGTTAGCAGCTAAGGTTCTGCCATCAGCTAAACAGCATAATTAATAATACACTTGCAACAAAATATTTATAAACATCTTTCTGGTACACAATGAAATATCCCAACTGCCCAATGTCTTGCAGAAATGGTATATACTGAGCCAAAAAGAACAAGAAAAAGTAAAATTGTTGCTGTGCTTATCAATAATGCACCATGCTATGAAGACATATGCAGTAGTGGATATATATAGCTCCATGTATTCATAATCTCGGCACTAGATGAAGGTGAGTGATCAGCTCTACCCTTTCTAGGGAAAAGTGCTCAGTACACACTGGCTAGGATTATGGTGGGACCCAGAGCTGGACTGGATTCTGGGCAGAAGAAAAAATCTCTGCCCTGCCATGACTTAAACCCTGATCCCTCAGCTGTACAACCTGTAGCCCACCGCTATATGGGCTAAATGATGCCAGCTCCCTGATAAAAACAGGGCCATGAAAAAGTTTTGATCCCGGACTGCAGATTATAACATTCAGAGTCTAATTCCTCTAATAATCTTGCAAAACAATTCTGAAATATACTAAAAGATTGTCACATAAGTATTACCCACAATTATTATAAGACAAATATAAATTCTAGGATACAGTCAGCATGGGAATTGTGTAGAATGATTTTGGTCAAAGCTGCATTCAATGGGGATCTTTTTCTCTGTCTTAAATATTTTCTTCAAAAGTAGAGTTGTTATGGTTATCTTATTTTAATGTTTGGCAACACTACATTAATTATATATCAAACTAGGATGACCCCGATTTTAATTACAATGAAAGGTTATGTAATGCTGTATTTTGATGGTTCCATTACTTTGATGTAACGTCAGGCTCTTTGCTGTTCTGACCTTGGAACCAAGAATTCTAAAAGATATGTGGGGTATGAAAGGAAATGAAGAACCAACACTTTTACGAGAAAACGAAGTCATACTGACCAATCTGAAACCTCCTCCACATATGAAATGCATCAGGTCTTCTGAAGAGTATATAAGAGGCATAACAGCTGTAAGAAAAGCTTGTAAATTTTACATTTCAGGGCGTATTCAAAAGAGTTTAAACATTCCTACCTTCGGGCAATGGATCAATCCAATTCTTATTGAGTCCAGTAGGAATAGAATCCATCTCCTGCTCTCGCTGGAGCATCTTCACTTCTCTACGCTCCTTTGCCAAAGCACTCTGCATCATAGCTGCCTATAATGACAAATTGTTGTACAAATATTTATATTGTGGTGTACTGTTACATGTACACCAGTTGCTAGGCAAAAGGGCGTTAAACATGTTCCCGCAGAAGCAAACGCGAGGAACAATAGGACATCTGTTGCTAGGCAACAAAGCAGTAAACGCACTTCCACATAGGCAGTGATGCACACAACAATGGATAGAGACCACATGACGTGTTTTCTTTAGGTCTGTTCCAAAGGTTTACAGGAGACAACAAATGTTATATGTTGTAAGTTGGAGGAGTGAGCGTATTGATACCCTCTGACGATGATCCATTAAGGATCGAAACATGTAAGGGAGATAAATCGTCAAGTGATAAAACTTAAATAGTCACATTAGACGGTATTATTTTTGCCTTTGTAATTGTTAGTGTGACGGACCAGAATGAGACAAATCAAATTTACTTTACTCTTGTATCATACCTCAACATAATCTGTGAAAGGGGTCTATGGATATTTTAGAAATTCCATTTATGGCTTTAAGTAAATTACGTGTTATTATGAACCAATATGGCTAACAACAGGAACGTCCTGATCGCCATTACTAAGTATTACATACTGGATTTCAACATCATCTACAGGGTGATAGAAAAAGGGTTACATTCTTTAATGGGGTATACTACTAACTTAAATGAGCACAGAATTCCCAGCAAACATGTGTTAAAAGAAAAGGGTTACAGGCTTTAACGGGGTACAGTACTAACTTAAATGAGCATAAAAGTCCCAGGAAACATATTGTGGTATTATAACTGAAGACAGGGCTGTTAAACAGTAAACAACTCATCAGCTAACAATTGCACACACAACAGAGGAATGGTGGTTTCTGCATGATCTGTGATGATAGCAGTGTCACCCAACAATAGAACTGCTGGAAGTGGTGTTTTCTGTGGGGTCTGTGGCAAGGCTATGTAACAAGGACCAGTTGCCATTAAAACAGTCTTGAAACAGCAACTAGAAGAGTAGGAGGCTGGTGTCAGATGGCAGCCAGCCTCCAAGGAAGTGTGCTGCAAAGGACAGAAACATCCACGCTGTATCCAATAAATCTCGTTATCAATCTAAAACCCACCCAATAGTCACCCTAACATGTGACAGTATTTCCAGAAATCAATGCATGCTGAGATATGGGCAAATTATCAAGAAGTTTGTGTACTGAGATGAGTAGAAGAAGACCCCTGAACAAGTATGCAAAGAACTGCAGCTGTTTGAAGTATCGGTGTTCCCTTGTCTGGAAAATTCTCCATATGCAATAACTTTACTCACATAACATCCAGCAAGTGCAAGCACTCACTCCTCCTGACTATCCTGCAAGGCTTTTTGCAAAATGGGTTGTAAACACATACTTTGTAGCTAACATCCTATGAACCGATGAGGCAGAATTCACAAGGGATGGTACTGTGAACTTTCATAATACCCATGCCTGGGTGGATGACAACACACCGTGGCATGAAGACATCAACACTGATTTTCCATCAATGTCTGGGTGGCCACCTTAGGTAATCAACACTTAGGACCAGCTGTCTTACATAACAGACTAACAAATGCAGTGTACTATTAATTTTGGTGAATCATTTACCAGTGCTCTTGGAACATTTGCCTCTTCTTCATCAATGATAACACATGTGGTTCATGAATCATGGGGCACCACCTCATTTCCTCTGCCTTGTCAGACAGCACCTGACCCAGACTTCTAGTGAACAGAGGACAAGATGTGGCGGACCAGTCACCTGACCTTAATCTTCTTGATTTTTGGATGTAGGGACACCCAAAGACATTGGTATTTTCAGCACCAATCAATGACTTAGAGGCACTGCAGCAACAAGTAGGGAATGTCTATCAGGAGATTTGAATAAAACCATGAATTTAGTAATTTTCAACAAAGCACGCACCTGTGTGAAAAAGAGGTGAAAGTTGTGTTGAAATGCATGGGAATCACACACAGCATCTGCTGTAGAGTTTACACAAACATCACAAATATCTCAGGGGTTTTTTTCATTATATACCCTTAACGTATGTAACCATTCTTTTAACACCCTGTACAAAATTGTTTGAGGAATACATGAGTAAGTCCATTTATGGCCTTATGGTAAACCAGGGCCTCAATATGGATAAATACAGCAGATATCTGACCTGTCTGACAACCTCTAGTGAAAGTCTCCTATATAACATCCTAAGAAAGTTTGCCTGATGGTTTAGGCAATGATATTGGGATCTGTGCAGATGGACAGTCATGACCTCCACACAGTCCATTATTTGTTACTCTTCCTGAAAGGATCAGAGCACCCCTTCTTTACCTGTGCCAAAGAGCCATCTGGGTTCTTGACGATTCTTACTGGACTAAGATCATGTAACATACGACCATGACCTTGCAGAAATGGAGGTTCATCTTCCACCATTTCAATCTCTATGTCTTCTTCCTCATCCTCTTCCTTTGGCAGCAGACCAGTCTCATCATCAAAGTCTGGCAGTTCTGATTTGTCAATACAAGCTGCTGACAGCATCTGCAGAAGATAACAAATTATGCTCCTGAGTCAATCTCATATATAAAAAGATGTGCAGATTTTCCAAATATATACATACACAATTTTTAATTTTTTTTTTGAATTGCGTAACTCAATAACATATTCATGAAAGATGGTGCAAACTGTAATGTACATCAAAGCAGAAGTACCAAGTGGCATAAAAACCTTTGATATTTCAGTTTTAGAGTGGGTTTCGAAGCTTTCTGTCATTCTGACATCCTTGTTGACTGATTCAAAATGTTTAAACTGCAACCTGCTAAGTTGTCACACATAACATTGAAGATTTCTTTCGTGACAACGTTGTTAACTGCTGGCTTACACACAATATTTAACCTTTAAATGCCCAGCTTTTAACATGGGGGTAGCCTGAGCTTGCTATTTTCAATTTTTTCTTGTAAATTTGATGCATACTGTAAAAGTTGTTCCTTGTTTCTTCATAGAGCAGTTCTACCTTATAAAGTCACTCCTGCTTCTAGCACTTGAAATAATTTCGCATTCACTGCCATAAACCAGCTGGAAGCAATAAAATCATTTGGTTCTCTGCTGGCAGGTTTCTTGTTGCACTCATCAGATATTAAAGTCTTTTGACTAAAGGACACAAAAGTGAAAACACTGCAGTTCAAGAAAGGTTACAGGGTCTTTGTTCTCTTCTTCAACGCCAAGACCTTCCATTGCATTTGAGATTGAATACTGTCCTTTCTAAAGTCATAAACAAACACAAGCAATATAGCTGAGATACAGAGTGCTTCAATTTTCTGTGAGTTTATGGCGAATTCAAATACTGTATTTTCATATCATCATAAAATGGCAATGATAAGTTGTTTGGAAGATGATGAAATTGAAAGGCAACTGAAATGCAAGATATGTAACGTGGGACTACGCATTTTCAGGTTCTTCAATAAGTACCACACAAAGATGAGATTCAGTGTACGTGACACAGGGAGTGAACCCTGTATATACATCAAGCAGATAACTACGAAAAAAGTATGGACATTAAATTTTACTCTATTTAAAACTAAATATATAAGATTGGGTGTTTGCTTTAGCCATCGAAGTGTGTGTGCTTCTGCTAGTGGAGTTTAAATGCCCCACTGCACAAATCAGTGTACTTCGGCCATGGCGACCATACTCGTCACTATACCTATCGGTGCAATTCAGACATTTAAGGTTAATACTCAATTTATACACGTGTATGATCTGTGTCCAATTTCACATGTCTGGCTCCAGTGGTTCATCAATTACTGCCATCAAGTGTAGGCAGTTGTCATTTTATCTTAAACACATGTGTGCATACCCACATGTCCACACCACAAGTACACACGCAAAAAGTATCTGAACAAAAGTTCCATATTTTTTCCAAAATTTGTATCTCTTGACCAGCAATGATAGAGTGGTCTCAACAACCCATAATTCAAATAGGATTCAACAGTATCTCAAAACAAAAGATCAGTGCGAACGAGTCAGCAGATATTTAGGTTGTGCAATCTTTTTCCTTCACTGCAAAGCTTCGTAAGGACAATCTAAAAGAAAAGAGTAGGTCTAGCAAAAACTGTGTTGAGAACAGAACCCTTTTATAAAAAAAAAAAGCTGATGGAACCCCATAGCTGCAAAGACTTCTAGTCATATACATCAAAATTATTACCATTATTTTAATTTTATGAAGAATTTTTATTCAAATACACATTTTATCTACATAAAATTTACCACATATAACCTCAAACTTTCCCACCACTGCAATGTTTCTGGCTGCTGACCTACAAACAATATTTCATATATCATGTACATGTCTAACTTCACATGCCTTGCTACAATGGTTCACTAGTTATTGCTACCAAAGTAACAGAAAAAGAAAATTTCTGCATGATAGACATATTGATATTTTACAGTGTGCACATGAGCACCTCGACAAGCGCACACTGCCACCACTATTAACAAAAGGTGCAATTTTTCCAAGATCTACTACTGCACATCAAGATTCTATATTCAGTAGCACTAGTGGTGCCCAAGCTCATAAGTCTTCACATACATCATGTTATTATTACCAGTCACAATAAATTAACAAATACAGTGTTTGGGACTGTCTTCTATGGCATAATGTTTTTAGCAACTTGAATGAAAATCAGTGTCCTTATTAAAAAGCTGAATGGGAACATACACACACACAGACAGCTTGGTAATGTCATAAGCCTATTTTCTTAAAGAAAAGAGGCTAATAACACAGGTGCTTGGTCAGCCTAAAAGTCATCTTCAACTGACACTCGGCCAGACCTGAAACATGAATGCCAATAAAAAAAACACTGTCCGCCTTAAAGAAAGTTCTCCAAAAGCCTCATGAAGCATTTCAAGGGTTTCAGTAGCAGATTTACTGAGCGTCACGCAAAACTTGATGCACACACGTTGCTCTATCTTGCCATCCATTGCAGGAAACAAGAAGCCTAAAAAGCATTGATGTAAAAACAATACACGTTCACAACGTGGTCACATGGAAGACTAATGCAATAGGCTTTACTTAAGTGTGACCCTGGCCTCCACTCTCATCTTTTTTCACCTAGGCAGTTACAACATTAACAGTCTGGGAACTTTCTGATAGCACCTTATAGTTTCTTACTGCAAGACACTGTATAAATTAAACAACTTTGATAAAGACACATACAATATCTCTGACATGAAAATAAACTACTGCACTTAACAACACTGCATGACCAGTACAAAACCAATGCCTCTACTATGACACTACACGTGTCAGTAGTAAACCCAGTAATTTCAGATATCATCAGCACTGATACATTACACTCCAGCATACCTGTTTTATTTCCCACTTCTCTGGCGAGGAGATACGATGGACACGTTTGCGACTATGGGTCTCATCTTCCTCAGCCAATGAACCCTGCAACTCTAGTAGGGATGTTGGGCGATCTGGATTGCGATGAGCTTGTTCTTCATCCCTACACATAACAAATGTGTTTGACATGTCTGTTTCATTTTCAATTAATACCATTTTCTGAGCCCACATTTAATATATACTTATTAGTAAGTTACAAAATAGACATTTTCATGTATATAATAAGAAAGGGTTATGATGACACAAGGAAAGCATTTATGTATATCTGATCAATTCCCTTTGTACCACATGAAAATGTTGAGATTTCACTGAAAAAGTAAGGAAAGACGATATTTCCAAATTGTCAAGGGAAACAAGAATTTACATGAAAATATAAGTAAATATTTTCACATCCAAAACGTCTGTCAAAAGCATGATGCTCCCACATCACAAGCATAAGTACTGATGCTGGCTTAGGAGTGAAAACTTTCAGTTGCCCCATGCACTGCTGCTAGGTCCAGTGTGTGCGCCAAATCTTGATAGGACCCTTCGAACAGTCCTACCTGTAATGCTGCCAGAACCAGAGGCATCCTGAGTTTCCCTGTTAACTGCTGAATCTAACCATTGTGAACTGACAATTTCTGTTACATGCCTAATCAAAGGTAGATACTGAGAAAATACATGGTATTAATATTCCTTTTCTTGTATGCATTTCCAGCATATAGCATTACCTGTGAGGTCCATAACATGTACGTTCTACCTCAATGTACAATAACCAGTGACAAACCTGTTAGAGGCTGATCACTATGTAATGACACAATCCTACATGAAGGGGGCAGTGATGGGAATGAAGACAGTGGAGCAAGACTATTAAGAGGTACTCCAATGCAAAAACCAGCTGCCAGCAGCAAAATGAAATGTTTGCCCCTAATATCTGCTGTAATATGGACTTGTCCATTCTGCCCATAAATGAAAACTGTCTTCTGCATATATGCCATTGCATTGTAATCAAGCTCTACCAGATTAAACTGTTTCCTGTCAAGAAGACACACAATCACAATGGTCATGCATCGACAGATAGAAGACAGAATTCAAGTATACTGTCAGATCTATCAGAGGAGCTAATCATGTTAATGAACAGTTTCTGATGCTTCCAATAGACAGGAGAAACTATCTGTAACAAATCCTGGATGTCCTCCTTTCCACCAACTTTGCATCTGAAATGTATTCAGATGATGATATCATAAACTGAATAACAACAAAATAATAAAATCTGCATCACTATCAAACTTAGCAGTGCAACATATTATGGTAAGAGATTGTATTAATTAGACTATGAGTCTGGTGCATGTAAAATGCCTCTCAGATAATGATGAGGATCATTACAAAATTACTAGATTCTATTTCAACACTTAATTGGGACCAAAATGACCACACTGGGGATCTTCTTGGATACAAAAGATTTTTCTCTCATAATATTGTGTCATCAAGGTATGGCTTACTTTCAAAGATGTTTAAGATAAATAATAACTACAATCAACCATCTCTGGTGCTGACTTCTCTTAACACATCTCATATGAAAGTACAATACATTGGTAAATAATGGCATCACAAACCTGTCTTTTCCTAATAACAAACTGTTACTTGTTGGATTTAAATCTTCACCTGTGTCTTGGTTCACATCTTTCATTGAAAGTGACACTTTCTGACCTGTGAATGACAAAACTTTCACCTGAAATAGAAAATTCATAGTCAAGCAACAGTTACAGAATTCCATGGACTTACAAAAGATAAACAAGTTTAGAAAATCATCTTCTGATTCAATTTCGCTGCTAACAATATAGAGCTCTTATAATATTATAGGGATATTGTTATGTGATATCAGAGTATTTGTAATGGATAAGAACTGCAATATACACAGGTCACATGTCTAGAAAGCTTTTGATTTATCTTATGAAGAATAAAATACCAAGAGGTAAATTAATAAACAGGAAATGTATGAGTAAGGACATTTGCAATTGGTACACTTTTAATTCACGCTGACACAGTAATGAAAACAAGATAAAATTGGTGGGACATGTGAAAACAGGAAATGCATTTAATATTTCAGTTAGAAACCCCTGAGTGCTGATATCACTTGGGTCGAGATTGGAGGATAAGATTAAAAATGATCTTAACACCAGAAAGTAATGTGACCTGGCTTGAGCTACCTTAGGAGTGAGTCCAACAATGGACTTCTGTGTTCATGGCAATAAACTTCTAGTTTCCAAAACAATTGGGAATTTCATGATTAGGTCAATAACTCTAAATTGATCATGGAAAATGCTACTTGATGAAACTAACTTGTGAGGGCTAGTGAAATGGCTAGGCTTATAGGTTTCCTGAGGTAGTGAACAGTTTGACTTAATAGTCAGCATGCCACTTTCTTATTCAAGAGGTAAAGGATTTAAATCTTGGGCTGACGACTGAAGTTTCTGTGATTTTCCTAGGTCCCTCCACGCAGTTGGTGGACAGTACCCTAAAACAGGTCGTGTCCATTCCCATACACACCTATTCTCACTGATCATTCACACTCATCCTTTCATTTGTTACTTTAAACAAATACAGTTCAATAAGTAAACATTAACTCCCTTACACTGTTACCAGCCAAGTGCTTGGTTACAGATGAAGCCTCAAAATTAAAGACTTAAGATGTAATAACGTGCTGCCTTTAGGGCTATCACACACCTCTGGGGGTGCTGATAAATGAGTATGCGGCAACAACAGAATAATTAGCAGGGTAAAACTGAAGAAACTCAGAGACAAAGAGGGCCCAGTGCTATTTCATCCTTCATGAATCTAACATGAAGACCCCTGGGACCAAACCTGTGACCAGTGCCTAACTGCCTGAGCTATGGCATGGCCATACAGTTAAAAAGCATTGTAATATGGATGGAGAATCATTCTTTCAGATTTCATTCAGTTCCATCACATGAAAAAAAAAAATGCACTTCATGCAGTATACAACTCATATGATTCACAATCCCTTTCTATCTCATTCAATGCTCTTAACACAGACGAATGATAACTACATTAACTAACAAGTATATTCTGTGATACTCCCAGCATCTAGACCACATAGCACTGGATAAGAAATGACCAATGAACCAGAAATTATTTGGAAAGAAACAGCTATGGCATCTTCCATGCACTAACCTAGCACTCGCCTGAAAGAAGTTGTGGGGTGGGGCCACAAAACAAACCTTCAGTCCAAACTGAGATCTGAATCAAGCACCTGCTAAATACAGGTCTTGAGTGTTACCACTGGATCAGCTTTAAATAACCTAAGAATTTTAATGTTGTTTCATTCAGTTTTCACCTGAAAATGCACAATATTCATGCAAGAAGATTCTGCTGTATCACCCTAGCCAACATAAATATCTGTGCCAATAACTTTCAAATGCATTACCTTAACTTTGTGTCCACGAGCAACAACATCTGAAACATTGGTAACACGGCCCTCACGTCGCAACTGTGAAATGTGTACTAAACCCTCCCAGCGTCTTCTAAGACCTTCAAGCTGCACAAAACAACCAAAAGGCACAATATTTGCCACCTTCCCTGAGTATATCTGAAACAAACATAGATTATTGGCTACATTCAGATTAACATGACAGAACAAAACGTGAATGGCACAATTTTCTGGCATGTCATGCCATTTAGTATGACAGATGTTCGTTTTGGAGGAATGAACTGCCTCTCTCTGCAGGGCCATAAAATAAGCTGAGCAAACAGCAACAAGCAAGCAGGGTAGACTTGTAATATGCAATACTGTGTCACATCCCAGAAAACATTACTCTTCAGTCACCAAAATGACAACTACTAATCCAGCATAAGCAAAAGGCCTGTTTAAGTCTGGACTTTCCTCTACACTAACATAAAAGTATGTATTAAACAGACATGACTATACAATGTCACCCTATATATGCAAGGGAGAAATAAATACAGAGTGACAGGACATACAGGGGATGTTATTCTAAAGCTAATACAATGCCTACAGGAAAATTTAACCAAAAGTCTCTTAATTTCTTATATACATTACATGCAGTAATCATACTGTGAATTTTACTGTAAATATGGATTTCATTTCTCTCGGAAAATAGCTTGTTTAATATCTTCATCCCTCACCCCTTTCCTTCCTATCCTTCATCTACTTTCCCATTTTCTCATGTATTCCTTTCCTATCAAAAAAATTTGGATAAATGACACTGAAAGGATTCTTCAGTAACAGATGTATAAGTATGTACACGTGTTACCAAACAATGCACTGAGGCCAATAATGATTAATGCTAACGCACATATGCTGAGAGTTATGCCCACTTTGAGCAGAAACAAACATCGCAAGCAACTATACATCACTCGTGACTCAAGATACGCGGGTTCAAACCCGGCGGAGGTCGTGGAATTTTTAAGGGCGGAAAAATTCAGGG